GAATAGGCATCGAGGAAACTCATTAACTCATGCCCGGTCATTACATCAATCATTTGGTAAATATTTGGCAATGGAAATGAGTCTTTAGGCCATGCATTATTCAATTCTTTATAATCTACGCACATTCGAATTTGTTATTCTTTTTTGCAACCACAACTACATTAGCTAACCACTCAGGATACTTTATCTCCCGGATTCAACCGATTCCAAGTAGTCAAGTTACCTCTTCCTTAACAAATATGTTTCTGACCTCGGCTATTGGGCATTTCTTTTGCCTTTCTGGAAGAAAGCTTGGGTCCAGGCTTAGCTTGTGCACGACCACCTCTAGCGGGATACCTGTCATATTCGAGTGCGACCATGCAAAACAATCAACGTTAGCATTAAAGAAATTAATAAATTCATACCTAACTTCGATAGTGAGTCATGTTCCTAGGTGAAACTTCCTCTCCAAGAATTCCTCGAACAAAGCCACTTGCTCGAGCTCTTCTGCAGTGGATTTGGTCGCGTTTGTCTCTTTCGGTACTTGAAAGTATTTCGGTACCTGGTGGGATTCCGACGACTCCTCACCTTTATCATCTTCACTTGGCATGGGAGCAGGCGTCGATTCTTGTAATTGCTATTTGCTGGGATCCTTCCCTTTACTACTGGTTTCATTTCACTTGTTGTTGGTTGATCTCCTCTTTTCTGCTTAATTCCCTCCGGGGTCGGAAATTTCAGCAGTTAGTGATATGTTGATGGTACGGCCCTCATCTCATGTAACCATGGTCTTCCAAGAATTCTGTTATAGCCCATGTCGCCTTCGGCATTTGTGGGCAGCAGGATCTCTCCTTGGGTTGTCACACTCGCTAAGTTGAACCTGGCGAGGAGCTTTGTTGTCGGAATGATGCTTCCAATTAACTTCGCTTGCTCCAGTACTCTTCATTGAATGATGTTGGCAGAACTTCTTGGTCAACCAAAATATGCTTAATCTTAAAATCTAATATATTGAGAGAGATTACCATAGCATTGTTATGTGGCAGAAGAAGTTCGTCGGTGTCTTCCTCTGTGAAAGTAATATCGTCTTCGGTGACTTCTAGGAATCTCTTGACAAATATCTATAGAATAGACATCAATACCTTTGTCTTCTCGGCCGCCGAGAAGGTTACACCATTGATTTCATTCCCTCTGAAAATCATGTTGATTGTCAACCGAGGAGGATCTTCTCTTATCTTCGAGGGTTGTGCGTTGTCCCGGCTATGGCCATAATTGTTCTTGTCTCGTTCGCTCAAGAACTCCCTGAGATGGTCATTTTTCGACAACATTGCGATCTCCTCGCGCAGATATCGGCAGTCCCCAGTTCTATAGTCGTGAGTCCCATAATACTCACACTATAAGTTAGGATCCCTCTGGCTGGGATTGGATCTGATTGGCTTCAGGAATTCTGCTTCTTTGATATTTCTCATTGCCGATACCAACTCCATTATGCTGATGTTGAAATTGTAATCTGACAACCTGGGATATGTAGAATTTTGGGTCCCCGATACCTATTTTTCTTGCAACGATTGGTTATTCCGGCTACGGTCAGTTCTTCTATCAGGAGTGAACCTGTCCGAGGACCAAAACCCTTTGTTTCCACACCCCTCGGCTCTGTCGTAAGGCAACAAATTTTCTTTAGAAGATTGTCGGCCTGCACCGAAATCACCTTTGAATTTATCCTGGTTCTTGTCTCAGTCCGTCCCTTGGTTGATGTCGGGAACCCGAGCTGATCATTTTCTATCCTTATTTTGGACTCATAGCAGTTATGAATATCCGCCCATATGGTCGCCTGGAACTCGAGCAAGCTTTCATTCAGCTTTCGAGAGGCATCAGAGCTTCTCGGGTTCAAACCCTTTTTGAATGCCTCCGCTGCCCACTCGTCTGGTATGGTCGGTAGCAGCATCCTCTTTTTTTGGAATCTGATCACAAATTCACGCAGCAGCTCGGACTCACCTTGTGCGATCCTGAATATGTCCGCCTTCCTAGCTTAGACCTTTCTGGCCCCGGCATAGGCCTTAATGAACGAGTCTACGAGCATTTCAAAAGAATCTAATGAATGTTAGGGTAAGAGTGAGTACCATGTCAAGGCCCCCTTCGTGAGGGTTTCACCAAACTCCTTCAGTAGGACCGACTCGATCTCATGTTGAGCCAAATCTTTCCCTTTCACCGCCGTCGTATAACTCGTGATGTGCTCCTGAGGATCTAAAGTCTCATCGTACTTCGGTATGCCCGGCATCTTGAACCTCTTCGGAATTAACTCCGGTGTTGCGCTTGGTTTGAACGGCAGTTGAGTATACTTTTCGAATTCGGACCCTTCAAAACTGGCGGTGCGCCCGGAATCTGATCCATTCGGGCGTGAAATTTCTTTGTGTTCTGATTCATCCGCTCGTTCATTTACCTCATAAATCTCAAAGGAGTCATTACCATTATTATTATAGGATTCGCGACCGATCCCCCCTCCCCCGGCATCGTCGAAGCCGATCTCACCCCTCGGGGTATTGATATCAACTCTTTGAGCCGCCTGATTTATAGGAACGTCGGGAGGAATCGTGCCTCTTCCGTTTGCATTGTTGGAAGCGCGTGATAACGCTTGCTTCAATTCCACTTCATCCTGCCTTGAGAGGTGGCCTATGATGGCTTTTTGTTGCTCCTTTAGGATCCTTACAGTTTTCGCAACATGTTAATCTTTCGTGTCATCGGGAGTTGGCTCCCGCACATATCGAGGGTACTATCCTCCATGGACCGGAATCGCCCTATCCCCCTCGTTGCGGGTGTCACTGATTGAATCCTCGTGTTGAGGCAGATTTTTATGTGCCTCAACGTTGTGTGCGATGTTGACATCGTTAGCTGCCATTTTTAATTTCTCGTTGAGGAACAAAGAATCAAAACGAGTTAGTAATAAATGCAAGGATCAACCCAATTATGCAACTGTCTAAGCCCCCGGTAGGTGCCAAACCGAAATTATTTACCCATAAAACGGTACAGTTGAATTTGTTACGTAGTTTATAGACAAGCGAACTGATTTGATCCAAAATGATAAATAAACTAGACTAAAAATAAGACTTAGCGATTAAAATCGAAGGAAATGACGAGCCTTATTCTGGGAGCAATGCCTCGGAGGACAGAAATAAAACAGTGTAAAGAGTAGATAAAATTATTTTATTTAGCTTCAGAATGAAATATAGCATAAGTTTTGCCAAAGATTTTGTGTCTTATAATGGTTGTTAAGTCTACTATTTATAGTTATACCTAGGGAAACAAGATCTTAGGTCAAGCCCTTCTTAAATGACAATAAAGAGGCCATTGATGATATGTAACGGCAGGCCATGAATGCAAATATTCTCTGCAACGGTTGACTATTTAATGTTATTTTCATTGAATGACATCCGGTGGCAAACATTGGATCCGTTCACGACGATTGTGCTCCCTTCGGGGTTTATCCAATGCCAACTGCAGCTATTATTTCCGGTATTGGTTTTTACTTGATTTATCTTCTGTCTGTCTCCCGTTTCACGTGTCATACTACCATTCTATCATTTGATATAAACCAATTTTACCTTATACAACCTCTCGAGAAAAAAAACCCAGTTTTCCCAGCATCATCCTCTTCTTGGTAAACACAAACGAAACGCCTTAGTCATCAATCTCCCGATGTGTTCTAACAGCATGAACATGCTTATATTTCCCCATTCTTCTACCCACAGACTCGTTAGACAGCAGAACAACAGCACCTCCGACTCTAAACAAACAAGTCGATCTCAACATAGACTTCTTATTACAAAGATACCAATTCTGAGTAATCTTCTCACTACCAACAGCACAGGTATTCCTGTGCACTTGCAACAAGTCCTTGGCAAGATCAACCGCGATCACACCAGCACTACAACTCATACCTCCAAGGTTAAAACTCCTGTAAAATACTCCCCTATTTTTTCCCTTTGTTCCAATTTATATGAGCATATTTGACTTGAAGCAGTCTAAAGACTTCTAAAATTTCTGATTCTAAATAAGGTATAACATCTGTGTGGCTATAATTGAGTGCATAATTGAAAACATAAGTTAAATCATTTTCAAATTTAAAAAAAGATTATTTTATTTGAAAAGGATATATAACCTAGAACATAGGTAGTACAATTTTGTCTAATATAAAATTTATTTTTAAAGAGAAAAAATCGAACAATGTTTCACTAGAGGACTTCAAACAATAATATAATATATTAAATATATAAAAATTATATATATAATATATATGTATATTTAGTAAAATTGCGTGAAATAATATTATTAGAGAGATAATATAAACTAAAAAAAGAAACCATGCCGCATCCTACCAGATTTTGAGACGTGGCGAACCCAAGTGAGCTTCCCTTTCATCTTTTTTGCATAAAACATGCCATGCACCTCTTTTGTCCTTTATATTTAGGATGTTTAACAAGTTTCCAACTACTACAAGGCTATTTTTCTGGACTATAACGAATAGGTAGAGATCATTTGTTTATTTGCCGACCATTCAAGGCAAAGGTCCCATTTCTTGTCTCCACATTTCACTATCAAAAATGGAAGACTCCGTCAATAGCAACACCCCAACACCCAACCCCACAACTAAATAATTCTGCCCAACTTCACCCACCACTTTTCCTCAATGTCATTTGATGACTAGGTCAGTGGCTGTCATCATTTACTATTTTAGCCCAAAATTTAGAAGTCTTGAAAAAAAAATTAACTAAAGAAAAAAGAAAAATATCAACCCTTGTCACCATCTAAAGATGCAACCTATGTTTGGAGAACTCTAGAATTTTATCCTCAAATACCAATCAACATCCACATGTTGGACCATACCCACCTCATTTACTCCACAATCTAAAAGCCATTCTTTAATGAGTGGGTAGAGCAGATGGTATGATAATGTAATGGAGAGTAGTAATATATACAAATCATGCAATGCGTTAATTAAAAAGTACTACTTTATTGAAATGAAACAATAGTAAACAATTTTGCTGTGTTTTACATCATCAAAGACAAAGAAATACCATTCCTTCCCAAACACCAGAAATCCGAACTAGAGACACCTTGAAAATGTTAATGGTGCTTTGTTCAGGAGAATAAAGAAGCGGGGAAATAAAACTGTAAGGCTACATAGTTTCATTTGGGAACAAAAAATAGTCCTAGGATTATGGAAAAATACAAGGATGAATTCAACAAACCTGGACTGAGTTTTCTTTAATACAGCCCAGACAACTTGAAACTCTTGCTGTAAACAAATGAACGATTAGAATTGAATAGAAACATATTTGGAAAGTTATGCTTGCCTTCCCCCCTAGATTTTTTTCCCTGCTTCTCCCAACTTGCCTCCCCCATCAACAAAAAGTTGTACCCACCAAAATAATATATACTACCCTATGAATTTGATTTGTTTGGCTAAATGCGATAATGAATTAATCGTTGTCTCGCTATGCTACAAGCTGATCAAGTTGCATCTGCTCGAGCCAAGCTCCTAAAACTGAATGATCAACTGAATCAACTTTGCTCAGACTCTCACCAGATGGCACAGTACCCGAAATGGGAGCTGCCTGCTTCTCTTTCATCTCAGATGGTGATTCCTTGACAAGAGATTGCACCCATGATAGATCAGGCTCCTCTCCATTGTTGAGCTGCTCAAAAGAAGATGATCGGCGCATGCGTCCAACTCCACTTCCATTCACAGACCAGTCAACCTTTCCAGTGGGAGAGCCCCAATTCGACCAAGAATTACCTACTGGAGATCCAACAATGGAGGCATTATTGGAACCAAGATCACGGGAGCTGAGGCTGCGCAGCTGTTGCTGCTGCTTCTCACGCTGCGCAAATGCTGAAAGGCGAGCGCTCATAGGTGAGATGGGCTCCATGCTTCTTGGGGACATCCTTCCAGGTGATGAAACACCAAAAGAAGCCTGCAAAAGAGGATGCTCCATGTTTTTCGGAGAAAAGACATTAGTGTTAATTGGGGAAAGCATGCTCTGCTGTTGTTGGAACTGATTAAAGAAAGCCGACTTATGTGATGGGGAGAAAACACCAGAAGCCGCTGCCTGATCAGAATACCGCGGAGAAGAGGTAATCTCGGCAGAAAATAGCTCTTCAAGATTTGAAGGAGTTAGTGTATTGGACCGACCAGATCGGTTCAAAGAGTTAGGATGTGGCTGTGAATAACAAGCCATGTCATTCAGAACTAGTTGCTGTGCATCAAAATCATGCAACATGCTGAAATCCTCAGGCGGAATGTCACGTGCACTAAGGGAAGACCTCAGGCGGCTGGACTGTAGATTGCTTCCAGGTAGATGAAGAGCGGGGACATTTGGCTGAGGCCATGGTGCAGACGGATGAGACATTCCATTGGCAGTAGGGGACATGGGTTGGTTGAAAGCAGGAGGAGACATCACAGAGTGTGCTGAGGGCGAGCCAGGAAAAAGGTTCAGTGCTGCAGCCATGTCCATCACAGTAGCTGCAGAAGCAGCTGACCGAGGAGATGGAACTGCAGATCCAGTAGAAACATACAAGGGCCTAAGCTCCTCAGTAGTATGGGCAAAAAAGCAGACTCGCCTTGCACAACTTGTACCATCCTTGCACAGGCGCGTTCGGTACTGAGCAGGGTGCAGCCAGCACTCAAACACCCCATGAGCATATTCACACATATCACCCCGCCGGCATGCACCCTTGCGAAATTCAGGACAAGGCACACAGCTATAATGGTACTTCCTTGGATCTCTTCTGCGAGCGTTCTCCCCTGGGTGGACAAATGGGCACTCTGTCCAGTCATGAGAATAGGCCCTAGAACAAGGCCGGACTTTGAAAGAGAACATGCGGAACTCATCCGTCGAATAGATACTATTCTTGATATCAGGGAGAGATGGATCTATTGGATATTCTTTTTTCTCTGGTGCAGAATTAGCAGGGATATCACTGAACTTTGATGCCATAGGGGAACACAAGGAATCGGATGGTGAAAATGGAGATCCATTCTCTGGTGATGAGGATAGAATGGGAGAGGATCCATTTGAAGTAGTGACAGATACTCTCAATTTGCACTCACCAACTGAACCATCAGATGAATTTTTCAGAAGCAGTTCTTCAAGAGAAGCTCTAGCACCATGAAGCTTTGGAGGAACAACAATCACATCCGCTGGCCGCTGACCATTAGAATCCTCAATATTAGGATCGGCACCAGCTGATAGCAGCAACTTAACTGCATCAACAGCATTGACAGAACCGCCAGATGTTGCACAGTGAAGAGCTGTGCACTTGTTAGGACCACAAGCACGATTAACATCAACCACTGGATTAGAGATAATCAATTTCAAAACATCTAAGCTTCCATATGTGGCTGCTACCATTAAAGGAGTTCTTTCCTCATTAACAATCTGCTTTGCGCCTTTCTTGCGAACCAACCATAGGCCCGCCTCATCAATAGCAGAAGCACCGCGCTCAACAGATCTTTTAAAACCTTCAAGATCATTATTTGCAGCAAGTTCAAGCAAACTAGAAAAGGAATCTTCAGTCTCAACCGTGAGTTTAGTAATACCCTTCATACTAGATTTAGAATCAGTAATGGATTGGTTGGTAGATGAACTAGAATTGGGTCTTTCTGGGCCAGTGCACATGCTTCAGCCAACTGCAAGTCAAAACACACAGAATTAGAAAGAAGATTTCAACAACAAATTAAGTAAAAACTTCAAGCATCATATTTCTAGAATCAGATGGATTTCATAAACAGATTAAAACAAATCGAATACCATTAAAAATCTAATTCAAGAATCCACCAGACTGACAGCATCAAACAACTTGAATCTTCCTAAAACACCAGAGAAAATCTATCGAACTGAACCCCAAATTTAAGGGTTTGGAGACGAAGGGTAAAAAGATAATGGGAAAAGATAACAGGAAAATAGCCATAGTAGGTACACCAAAAAGCACCTAACCCTCTCAGAAGCTAATGAATACAGAGATATGACAATGCACCAGCCCCTTAAATAGACAAAATATGCTCTTTTTCGCTAAAACGGGGATAAAGAAGAAAAAAACGACGAATAATTTACCAACTTCAACGTATCCTGAAGTATATAGACTTATTTCAGCAAAAATCGAAAACAACAAGAGTATGATTGTCTTTTGGTTTTCTTGACGCATTTCATCAGCTACATCAAAACAAACCCTTTATACTCAAACATCAATAGCGAAAAAATATCAAGAGAATCGCATCTTATACCCAAATATATTCTACAGCTGATCATCCTTATAAAATATTCTCTCCAGAACTTCAAAAGATCACATCTTTACATAATAAATTGTCACGATAGAAAAACGCAACAACATAGATCAACCTAACGTTATCCAAGTATATCAGCAGAATTCGGCAAGAATACTTCAGCTATAAACTAGAATTTACTGACATAATCTCAGCAGATTTCACAGATAGTCAACCAGAGTCAACACAAAATAAGAGCAAAAAAGGAAACTAAAATACTAATATTCACAAATTCGATCTCGATCATTCAACTCAAATCTTACCAGGAATCAAAGCACAAATCCAACAGCTGTAGTTAGTTTAAGTAGATCCACCACAACAAAGTCTCCAAATAGATGTTTATTATTCAAAACTCCTTAGAAGTTGAGAAAACAGCAGTAAATGAAAAATCGCCGAAGCTACATAAGCTAATCGTCTCCATTGAAACTCCAAAAACTCTCTGTTTGTAATATATCTACAAAAATATATAAATTAGTGATTCTGTACATACTCCATTGGAAATGAGAGAGAAAGTGAAAGGAGAGAGAAAGATCGAGAAGCAGAGTATGAACTCTGAAGGCGGAGTTCTGTAATAGAGAGAGAAAAGAGGGAAGTATAAAATTGAAATGCAAATGTAATTGAAATTGAAATGCAAATGCGAAATGAAATAGTGTTGAAATTCACGCGAAATGAAATGAAGTGGAAATGAGAGTCAAGTGAAATCGAAGTGATATTTGAAAGTGAGGGAGTGGGGACGGGTTTGGCCGGTGAAAGTTACCGGTTGGATGGGTAATAGAGTTGAGGAGCGGACGTGAGTGCGATAGTCAATTGTGGTTAATTCTGGAGTCAAATCGAAAGAAAAGGGAAAAGGATATATAATCAGACACGCGGCAAAAGAAGAAAAATTTAGAGGTGCTTTAGCTAAAAGGCCCTCATATTTCTCCAAATTCACTTTTATTGCCCAGATACAATACAAAATAGCAAATTAATCACAAGTGTCCTTTCGGGGACGTCCCCATAGAATCTAATCACAACTTCACAAGTGTGCAAAGGGAACAACATACGAATAAATCAACAACAACAAACTTAGTGGGCGTTTGGACATAAGAATTGTAAAAAAAAAAAAAAAAAATTTAAGTAAAAATGATATTTAAAAATTAAAGTTGTATTTGGACATGAATATAATTTTGGGTTGTTTTGAAATTTTGTAAGTGATCTGAATAACAATTTTGAAAAATAACTTTTTGGAGTTTTCAAATTTTCAAAAAAATTCAAAATTCATTTTCAAGTGAAAATTGAAAATTTTATGGCCAAACACTGATTTCGGAAAGAAATAAAAACGTTTCGAAAAAAATTGAAAAAATTCTTATGTCCAAATGGGCTCTTAGAATTTCCCACAAAGGGGATCTCGGGAGTGTAAGATGTACACAGTCTTATCTCTACATTGGAAGGGCACAGAGGCAACCTACGAATAAATCAGTGGTGTATATTCAATTCTCATTTTCTTTTTCTTTTTCCGTTTTAAAAAAATTAATTTTCTCACTTAATACTTGGATTATTTAATATAAATGCCATATATCTCACTTTAATTTCATTACCAGAAACACACATTAATTTATTATTTTCCCAATAAAATATACATCCATGAAAATTAACATTGAAGAATTATAATTATATTACATATATAGTTCAAGTAAGAAAAATATTTATATGAAGTAAAATTTTAATTGACTTGAAAATCCTAAATTGTAAGATTTTCTACCTAATTCAAATAAAAAATAATTTAATAATCAAAATTTAGTCGATTTTAAAGTACTAAATATTAGGATAAAAATTAATGACTATTTTATCTAGTTGAACTTTATTTTTAAAGGGTAAAACATACGAATAATATTTCGCTAAGGGCCTTCGTCTTTTTAAGTGTGCGCACTTTGCACATGTATCCCATGTAAAATAGATAAAGTTTTTTTTTAAAATAACATAAATAATACTCGGGAGAAGGTCTAAATATGCCCATGTACTTTAAAAAATGGTCTAAGAATATCCCTCGTTATACTATTGGGCTATCTATACCCCTGCAGTCATACTTTGGGTTCAAATATACCTCTCATTTAAACGGAGGGACACGTGTCATCGTCTCATCGGTCAATTCTAAATATCTCCTAATTAATTAAAAATACTCATTATCCATACCCGAAAAATAATTTTATAAAGCAATTTATTTTTTTGTAAAAACTGGAAAAAACTGATTATTTTTATACTAAAAACTGAAAAAAAACGAAAATATTTTTTTTTCATTTTTTACAAAAGTTTTGCTTCAAAAAAAACTGAAAAATATTTTTTAAAACAATATTTTTGTAAAAACTAGATAACAAAACTGAAAAATAATTTTCTAAACCAATTAAAAACTGAAGAAATTGATTTTTTTTAACTAAAAACAAGAAAAAATATTTGTTTTTTTAGTTTTTACAAAATTATTGCTTTAGAAAATTGCTTTTCAGTTTTTATTTTTTAGTTTTTACAAAAATAATTGCTTTAGAAATTATTTTTCAGTTTTTTTAAAAGCAATGTTTTTCTAAAAATTGGAAAAAAAAAATTGGTTTTTTGTTTTTCATTTTTAATTGCTTTAGAAAATTATTTTTCAGTTTTTACAAAAATATTATTTTAGAAAGTTTTTTTCAGTTTTTTTAAAGCAGATTTTTTTGTAAAAAATAAAAAAAAATCATTTTTTTTCAGTTTTTAGTAAAAGCAAAAATCAGTTTTTCCAATTTTTACAAAAAAAAAATTGCTTTATAAAATTATTTTCGGGTATGAATAATAGGTATTTTTAATTAATTAGGATATATTTAGAATTGGCCAATAAGATGATAACACGTGCCCCTCCGTTTAAATGAGGGGTATATTTGAACCCAAAATATGACTGCAGTAATATAGATAGCTCAATAGTATAACGAGAATATTTTTAGATATTTTTAAAAATACAAAAATATATTTAGACCTTCTCCGATAATACTCAAATATATCTCTTATAAAACAAACATTAGCAATAAAATTATAAGTTCTTGAAAATAATAATTGTTAATCATTCTCCTATATAAGAAGTGCCTAAGAACAACAGAAGTAGACAGCACTTCGTTGAGCTTTAGCAAAAATATATTTACCACTTTTGTTCTATATAATTACGTTTAATGCCATCGTACAGTTTAGTAAATAAAGGGAACGTTTATGGCATTTTCAAGGCCTAATTGTCAGGCCTGCTTTAATCAATATCTTTGTTGCCTCTTGTAACTTATTACATCAATTGCCATCACATATTTTAGTGAATAAGTTGTTATAAAATAAAAAATATATAAAAGAAATAAACTGAAGACAAGTATAGACGGAGATTAATATTTTATTCAACTTTCAAAGTTATGTTCATAATGAACTGAAAACTCTTCTATTTATAGAAGAAAGAAAGCAGCTGCGAGTCTTTTCTTTAGCTGCTTGTAAGCTGTCTGCATGAGCTTCTTGCAACCTGCCTGTTTAATAAGAAGCTACTGCAAATCATTTCATTGAGCTACTTTCAACCTGGCTGCATCAGCTGCTTGTAAGTTGTCTGCATGAGCTGCTTGCAACCTGCCTGTTTAATAAGAAGCTGCTGCAAATCATTTCATTGAGTTGCTTGCAACCTGCCTGCATCAGCTGCTTATAGATAAACTTCAACAGAGTACTAAATAGATAATCTTCTTCAGAAAGATTATCTATAGCGGAGTAATAAATGAACATCCACAATATAATTATTTTTATTACACTCCCCCTTGGATGTTTATTAAAAAGTATTGTGCCTCGTTAAAACCTTACTAGGAAAAACCTAGTGGAAAAAATTCTAGTGAAGGAAAAAGAGTACACATATTTAGTAATACGCATTTTTTGTTGCCTCATTAAAAACCTTATAAGGAAAACTCTGTAGGAAAAAACTTTAGTAAGGAAAAAAGAGTACATCGCGTATTTTACTCCCCCTGATGAAAACCTTATTTCAAATATTTGAGTCTCCGCATTCCAATCTTGTATACCATCTTCTTAAAAGTTAAAGTTGGCAAAGATTTATTGAATAAATCTGTCGGATTGTCACTTGAACGGATTTGCTGCAAATCAATGTCACCATTTTTCTGAAGATCGTGTGTGTAGAATAATTTTGGTGAAATGTGCTTCGTTCTATCTCCTTTTATAAATCCTCCCTTCAATTGGGCTATGCATGCAGCATTGTCTTCGTATAAAATTGTGGATCTTTTATCACACTCCAAACCATATTTTTCTTGAATAAAATGAATCACTGATCTCAACCATACGCATTCCTTACTTGCTTCATAAATAGCTATTATCCCAGCATGATTTGAAGAAGTAGCAACAATTGACTGCTTTGTGGAGCGCCATGATATGACAGTACCTCCACATGTAAACACGTACCCGATTTGAGATCGAGCTTTATGGGGATCAGATAAATAACCTGCATCTGCATAACCAACAAGATCTGCACTACCTTTGTTAGCATAAAACAAACCCATATCAAGAGTTCCCTTTAAATATCGCAAAATATGCTTAATCCCATTCCAATGTCTCCGAGTAGGAGAAGAGTTATATCTTGCTAGTAAATTAACAGAAAATGCTATGTCAGGCCTTGTAGTATTAGCAAGATACATAAGTGCACCAATTGCACTAAGATAAGGTATTTCAGGACCAAGGAGTTCCTCATCCTCTTATGGAGATCGGAACGGGTCCTTATTCACTTCAAGTGATCGAACAACCATTGGTGTACTCAATGGGTGCGCTTTGTCCATGTAAAAGCGTTTTAAGACCCTTTCTGTATAGGCAAATTGATGCATAAAGATCCCGTTTGCTAAATGTTCAATTTGCAATCCAAGACAAAGTTTTATTTTTCTAAGATCTTTCTATCTCAAATTCTTTCTTAAGATATTCAATTGCCTTTTGGAGCTCTTCTAGAGTTCCAACAAGATTTATGTCATTAACATAAACAGCAAGTATAACAAATTCTGATGCCATTTTCTTTATAAAAATACATGGATAAATAACATCATTTATGTAACCCTCTTTCAGCAAATATTCACTAAGGCAATTATACAACATACGCCCAATTTGCTTTAAACCATACAAAGTTCTTTATAATCTGATTGAATATATTTCACGATACTTTGAACTATATGCTTTAGGCATTTTAAATCCTTCAGGGATCTTCATATAGACTTAATCAAATGAGTCATATAGATTATGACTTGCATTTAGATGGCATGAAATCTTCAGGTGTCTGGACTACAAGTCTGATCCTCATAATCTTTTTACAATATTGTGAACTATATTGTATCAAATATATCGTTGACGATCATTTCGTATCAGTTCGCAAGCGACATAACTTGTTGAGATCTCATCACTTTCTTTATTTTCAAGTACCTGAACTTCTTCTGGAGTTTCATGAATGTTATGTCGTGGGCTCTTCCAGAGCTTATTTCCTCCTTATTATGATTATTTTGATCATTTGCTCATATTCTTTTCAATGATTGTTACCTTTGGAACCAATTGGTCTACCATGCTTCATGCGTACAGTAAACTCTATCCTTCAAGAACTTTAATTTTAATAAGAGCATTTGCAGCTGAAATATGATATTTAATTTTGGATCAGCAAA